GAAGGTAACTTCACCACTGAGCTAAAAGGGTGTCTGGGGGCCATACTCTCGAGGTTTCTCCAGTCTCCTTTAGGCCAGTAAATCTGGTCTTTTTTTTTGTGAGTTAGAATTATGCTCTACTGGCACTACTTTCTTGGTTGTTACGAGGTTCTCCTGTGTCTCTGCTTACTTCTCTCTTTTATATCTCAGAAGAGATTGACTCAAAACACAGCCTAATCTTTAGATTGAGTCCTGACTCATTAACATAACTATCTCCAATCCTGCCTCATTAACATCATAGAGGTAGGATTTACAATACATAGGAAAATCATATCAGATGACAAAATGGTGGACAATCATACCATACTGGGAATCAGAACTAGCAAAGTTGACACACATTTTTGTGTGTCAGTCCATAATACGAGGCATCTTTGAGGTCCTGAAAAAACGAATCACACCTCGTGGCCTGGCTCATTCCCAGCCTACCTTTAAGCCTGGCTTCCAGTGGAGTTATGCCAACAGATACAGCAGCTTCAGTGAGAAAGACCATGAAGAAGAGGAGTGCCAGCAGTGAGCTGGAGGCTACTGCTACCTTGGTCCCCTGCCCTTTGATTTTTTACCGCATAGAAATAATAATGGAATAACAATTTACCCTCATCTGGGTCCCTGCTATGGGCTTTACATGCTTAATCTTATTTAATCTTCCCAACACCTCTCCAAAGAAGCTATTACTAATAATATTCCCATTTTAGAGGTAAAAGAACTAAGACTCAGAGAGGTGAATCAACTGTCTCAAGGCCTCATATCTCATTTTAGTGTTTCTTTGGCCCTCTTCCTTTTTCACTTTATCCTCTTTTATTTAGCCCAGTCTGAGCTGAAGACCACAAATCCACAGACACTTCATCTCTCCGGAAAACTTTTTTTTTTTTCCCAAAGTTAGGTACACCAGGCTTCCTGGAGGCAGGCTTTCCTAAAAGCTCTTCCCCATTCTTTTTCCTGTTGGCCTTTAACTTTTGCCCCTGGGGCCACAACCAGCTTTCTCACTTGGTAGCAGTGGCTCCTTGGTGCCTTTTCCTCCAGGATCATCAGGTCAGTATCTGCAATTACTCTCAGCTCTCCTAACAGTGAGCGGCTAGGGGGCATTCTTCTCTCCCTCTGGTGCCTTCCTCTCTGGTACTAGGCCCTCTGTTCTTCAAACTCTTTAGCTTTCTTCAGCTCTCCTTTATTGTTCTATCTTGTCCCAGCATTTTCTCTTTTCTCCTCCAGTTCATTTCCTTGGTCTCTGTCGCTTCATCCATCCCCTTATCTTTATCATCGTTGCTAAAAGCAAATACCAAAGTACTGTATATGAAAGAAGACTTTTTTCAGTGCAGTGATCTCAAGATTTGTTCATTTATACAACTGATTAATGGGTACTCGGAGCCCTGGTGACACAGTGGTTAAGAGCTCAACTGCTAACCAAAAGGTTGTCAGTTGGAATCCACCAGCTGCTCCTCGGAAACCCTATGGGGCAGTTCTGCTCTGTCCTATAGGGTCGCTATGAGTCAGAATAGATGGCAACGAGTTTAATGGGTACTATGTCACACAATTCCCTTTTCCAAAATCTCTTTTGGGGTTTTAGGGTTCATTTTGTTGTTTCATATATGCTTGACCAAACTTAGGGTGATGAGTGGGCAGGTATTGATGGCCGAGTGGACTAAAAAGCCACACTAGGAAGGAGAGAGAAGAGATATCATATGCAAATGGACTATAAGCAGCAGAGTCTACAGAGCCCACAGTGATGTCTACCCATTCATCTTCTAGACTGAAGTTCCATTGACTTCACACCAACACCTTGCTGTCCAGAAAGGATGGAGATGGCAGTTTCCCCAAACTCCTGCCTCCCCAGATGTCTGCTCACCCTCCTTCTCCTCCAGTTCCCCAAGCTGGATTCAGGTAGGCCTCCCTTCTATTTCTCTTTTTATCTCTCGTTTATTGGGTTGAAACTTCTCAATATATGTAAACAATTCCATGTGGCTCTCCTCAGTTACCTCCACTGGGTCCAGATGGACACCCTAAGGCTGTCATTAGAATTAGAGAAACAGTGCAAGGGACTCTGCCCTTTCTCAGGAGCCTGGTCTGGGACAGCCCTCAACACCCATCTTCACACACACCCTGTCCCTGACCCTGCTCGTTTTTTGTGCAGCTCACTTTGATGTGATTGGGCCCCAGGAGCCCATCCTGGCTCTGGTGGGTGATGATGTCGAGCTGCCTTGTCACCTCTCCCCAAACGTGAGTGCTGAACACATGGAGCTGCGGTGGTTCCGGAAGAAGGTTTCGCCAGCCGTGCTGGTGCACCGGGATGGTGTGGAGCAGGAAGGAGAGCAGATGCCGGAGTACCGAGGGAGAGCCACACTGGTGAACGACAACATCACTGCGGGGCGCGTGGCTGTGAGGATCCACGGTGTCAGGGCTTCTGATGATGGGGAATACCGGTGCTTTTTCAGAGAGGATGAAAGCTACGAAGAGGCCAAGGTGCAGCTGAAGGTGGCTGGTGAGTAGACAGGTTTTGACTTTCTCTGGTGACTCTCATGTGATATATATTTTCCTATAGATCGAATTACTTTGGAAACCATCAGATTCTATTTCACAAAATCCCTTAGGTTGGAGGCAGTTGGCAAACCTATAAGTGAGAGATGAGCAGGAAGAGGGCTTGAGTTGAGAGTGGGGAGAGAGCAGCAAGATGTCTTTCTTGTTCAGCTTTATTTCACTTACCTCCTGTTGTTTCCCCTCAGTTATAGAATAATCATTTCCCCATGTCATTAGTTGAATAAATGTAAGATATAAAGGCTGTATAATGTTCTTTTCTACGAGTACACCATAATTTACTTGGTCAAGTCCCAGAATAGGACATTTAAGTTGTTTCTATGTTTCACCATTACAACAAGGCTGTGGTGAGCATCCACATTGCATATTCGGAGGCTGCTTTGTGGACTGGTCCCTAAGGACTGATTTCCTAAAGTCATAGGGCATGATTGTTATCATTCTTGATCCACCCAGAAAAGGTTTTACTTTTGTTTCCTTTTTTGCTTTAAGACAAAATTCAAGGTGAAACACTAAAGACAATGGTAGGCATTCAGGAGGAAAGTGTGCATTGAGGCCTGACTTTCCTACTTAACTAGTGAACGGCATCAAGCCAATTTCTTTCTGAGCCATAGTTCCTAATGTAAAACTGGGGAAGCACCTACATGGCAGGATTTTACAAAAATGAAATAAATCTAGACAGTAAAAGAATTATATACTTGTCAGCTATTACTATGCCTTGTTGCTGCTGTTGTTGTTGTGTGCCTTCCAGTCAGTTTTCGACACATAGCGAACCCATATGACATAAGGTTTCCTAATTAGTAATCTTTACTGTGCCTTAGACTGCTCTAAAATTCTGAATATACAAATATATTGCCTTTCATAGATATATTCACATAAAGAACATTTGAAAAATTCTTGGGTGAAATCTGGGCCTCTACCTTATAACAGGATGCCTCTGCAGCAACAGCATGTGGAACTCACATGCTTTCATTTTTAGGGAAGAAGTATCTTGAAGGTTGATTATAAAAACCTAGAGATTTGGTAGCATAATACTATGGTTCTTACAAAATTCTATTTCACAAAAAAAGACCAGACTTACTGGCCTGACAGAGGCTGAAGAAACTCCGAGGGTATGGCCTACGGACACTCTTTTAGCTCAGTAATAAGGTCACTCTCGAGATTCACATTTTAGCCAAAGATTAGACAGACCCATAGGACAAAATGAGAATAAAGGGGCATACCAGCCCAGGGGCAAGGACTGGAAGGCAGGAGGTGACAGGAAAGCTAGTAATAGGGAACCCAAGGTCAAGAAGGGAGAGCACTGACACGTCATGGGGTTCTTAACCAATACCATAAAACAATATGTGTACTAATTGTTTAATAAGAAGCTCGTTTGTTCTGTAAAACTTCATCTAAAGTTCAATTAAAAAAAAAAAAAAAACTATGGTTCTTACCTTTTATGAATCACACATACCTTTGAGAATCTGCTGAAAGCAGCAACCCCTTTCATGGAAAGAATACACATTCTCACACAGACAAGCAAACTTGGGATATGGAGTTAAACCAGTGGTTGTGGACATGTGTTTAAGGCCTATACACTGCAGCTCAGTGTTTTCCTGTACTCTGTGGAGTTGTAAGAAAAGAATTAGGCAAAACAGACGGGATAAAAAGCTTTTGAGCTGATTTATATTCAGACATAATTGTGTGAGGGAAGATGAAGGTGAAATCATTTTTTAAAATTCCTAAATCAGCATAACAGCTAAAGGAAACTTAAACTGTCATCTATGATCTCAGTGTAAAGATCCTCTAATCCTCTTTCTCCTCAAGGATACTCCTTCTCTGTTCATTCTTAAACACTCAATCTTATTCTCCTGTTCCTCAAAGCCTTCCCTTAATACTACCAACCACAGCGCTCCCCCCTATTTCTGAAGCTCCCAACATAGACCACTTGTGGTCTCTAAGCCATTAGTCTTGCTGTTCCTGCTAGCTGAACAAACACCCTTCATGTGTGTCCACCAAGCTCCTGCCAGTCTTTCAAAGGCTACCTCAAATGCCTGTCTTTCCTTTAGGGTTAGGACCAGTGACTAGATTCCAACATGACTTCCCTCTCTGATAAGGTGTAAGAAATTCCCTCTATTGGTACCTCAGATTCATTGTGTAATGAAGTACGGAGATGAGTTCTTCCCATTCCCAGTCCCCTTGTGCTTCTGTTTGTCTGTTTTCAAACTACATAGCCCTATGGTTTTAACGCTCCCAGAAGGGTGTTCACTAAAGAATTAAGGCCAGTTCTGTCTCCATAGCTCTAGGCTCTGATCCTCACATCCATATGGAAGTTCAAGACAGAGGTGAGATCTGGTTGGAGTGTTCTTCATTTGGATGGTACCCAGAGCCCCAGGTGCAGTGGAGAACTCCCAAAGGAGAGAAATTTCCATCCACATCAGAGTCCAGCAATCCTGATGAGGAAGGCCTGTTCACTGTGGCAGCTTCACTGATTATCGGAGACAACTCCGTGGGGAATGTGTCCTGCTGCATCCAAAACCTTCTTCTTGGCCAGGAGAAGGAAGTAGGAATTTCCATACCAGGTTAGTGGAACTAATGTTGTTTTATATGTTGACACAGCTTCAGGGCCACACCACCTGCCCAGCCATGACCTTACAGATAGAGTTGTCCACTTTCCTTACCTGCTGACTTGAAGAAGCTCACCAGCTTCACTAGAAGAGTAAAGATTCTGAAGGCATAAACTCTATCTAGATCTCATAGAAATTCCAGGTTTTCCATCTTTGAAAATACATCTTAGGTAGACAAGCCTTGTCACTGGGGGCCTTTCTAATCTAGAGTCTTCTGTCCTTGAGTGAACAAGAAGTCTAAGTCGTTTTTCTATTTTTACTGTTTCCATTCTTGGCTTCTCCTCGCTATGTTTTCAAGGTCCTCAGGGAAGCAGATTCTCCCACTTATTCCCCAGATACTAACTCTGATTCAGACAGAAATCTTGCCTTATTCTTTGATCATTATTTCAGTCCCATTATGTTACACACATGGAGCCCTGGTGGTGCGGTGATTAAGAGCTTGGCTGCTAACCAAAAGGTCAGCTGTTCAAATCCACCAGCCTCTCCTTGGAAACCCTATGGGTCAGTTCTACTCTGTCCTATAGGGTCACTATGAGTTGGAATCAACTCCACAGCAACAGGATGTTACACACAGAGGTGTCACTTCCCTTTCCTTATTTACTCCCCTTATCCCCATTGGCATTAATAGTTAAGGAGGAATTTCCAAAATAACAAGAATTGATCAACTATATTCTTTATTTCACAAATAATATCCCATAATAACTCTTGTTCAACTTCATTCCTTACTTTCTCTGCTCTCTTCTACCCAAGTTCAAAATTTTTCTGAAAAGTGTAGACTGGCACCGGAACCACTATTTTTGACATAGGAGGAGTAGGAGAGGTCCAGGTCATCCTTTCTTCTAACCCATTTTGGAATCAAGAGAGAAGCTGGACTTGCTCAGAGTTTCTCAACAGATGTCCTTTTTGGGGATTTTGTTTTAGCTCCCATCTTTCCAAGACTGACTCCCTGGATGGTGGCTGTGGCTGTTATTGTGATAGTCTTAGGACTTCTCACCACTGGGTCCATATTTTTCACTTGGAGACTATACAGGGAAAGATTCAGAGAGAGGAAGAATGAATTCAGCCCTAAAGGTAAGTCACAGAATCCCAGGTTACTCGTCAGGAGTGCTTCAGAGTGGGGTTGCATTTAAATCCTTTAGGATGATTTCCAGCGGGAAAAAACTTGATTCTAGATCAAAGCTGGAAGAGATTATAAAGATCCAGAAGTCACAAATATTCAATATGATGAAGAAGAACGGGAATTTGGAGCATAGCCAGAGTCAGAACCAGTTCTAACTGAGATATTAAATTTGATGTTTACTCACTACCCACCTTCAGACCATATCCTCACTTTTAACTCAGTTTCCTGGTAGCAATGTCTTATTATTAAAGATCTAATCTCAAGCCAGTAGGAACTTCCTACATATTTCTTAGAAAACTAAACAAACAAAAAAAATCCTTGTTCTTGATTTATTGATAATGTGTCAATACTCAGGTATTCATGAATGAAACACTTCCTCCTTGATGTGTTTCCCACATCAGTTTTATCCCCTCCCTCATAACCTCTATCGGACATTGAGATATTTCTGTTTGTTTTCCAGAGAAACTCCTGGAAGAGCTCGGTAAGTTCAGTCTTCTTGTCATTGTTTCACCTGCAAAGTTTTCTCTCTCTGATTCTATAACCTGTCATTGACAATCTCTCTCTTTCATTGCAGAATGGAAAAAGGCTACACTGCATGCAGGTCAGTGGCTCTGAACTTCTCAAGGCCTCTAAGTCTCTTTGCTGAAGGATTCAAAGTCCTACGATACTTGGAAATGAAAACACTAACATCATTTTAGTGATGAGGATAGAGAGGGGAGAGGTGATAGCAAATGGCCTCAACACCTTCCTTGATAGCCAGAACACAAGCCCCTCAGAAAGGGTCCAAGTAGTCACTGAGGACAGTCAGCTCTTATATCATCCTGTGGCTGTTGATGAGGGAGGGAGCCTGGAGGCAATGGAGACAGCTGAACAGGCCAAACAGCTCTTCTCCTCAGAAGACCTGTCAATTCCTAAAATAGTGTTCTATTTCTTTGGAGAAAGGGATAGATAGGTCCTGAAACCTCTAACATTCACTGACTCTTGAACTCGTGTGTCTTACTTTCTCCAGTTGATGTGACTCTGGACCCAGACACGGCCCATCCCCATCTCTTTCTGTATGAGGATTCAAAATCTGTCCGACTGGAAGATTCACGACAGAAACTGCCTGAAAAACCAGAGAGATTTGACTCTTGGCCCTGTGTGTTGGGTCGTGAGACCTTCACCTCAGGAAGACATTATTGGGAGGTGGAGGTGGGAGACAGGACCGACTGGGCGATCGGAGTGTGTAGGGAGAATGTGCTGAAGAAAGGATTTGACCCCATGACTCCTGAGAATGGGTTCTGGGCTGTGGAGTTGTATGGAAATGGGTATTGGGCACTCACCCCACTCCGGACCCCTCTTCCATTGGCAGGAGCCCCCCACCGTGTTGGGATTTTCCTGGACTATGAATCAGGAGACATCTCCTTCTACAATATGTCTGATGGATCCCTTATCTATACTTTCCCCAAGGTCTCTTTCTCTGGCCCCCTCCGGCCCTTCTTCTGCCTATGGTCCTGTGGTAAGAAGCCCCTGACCATTTGCCCAATCACTTATGGGCTTGAGGGGGTCACAGTAGTTGCTGATGCCCTGGACCTTTCTAAGGAGATCCCAATGTCCCCCATTGTGGAAGACTCTGCATCCAGGGATACAGACACCCTCCGTTCTAAACTGATCCCTACCCAACCCGGCCAAGGGGCACCTTAAGGACTATCTCAGCTCAGCTGCTTTCTTTTTCTCTAACCCCTCTGCCCCATTATCCCTGAGGCTTCAGCTGTCAGCTTCATTCAGCTCCTGTGTCTTCCTGTTGGGCAGAGATAAATTAAACTTCGGAAAGTTGTGCTGCCACTGCTGCTAGAGAGGGTAGGGTGTAAGACCTTCCTAATCTGTGTCTGTACCAATATTTGGGGGTTGGGGTTGGGGAGGAGACCCTTAAACTGCTTTTAGTGCTCTCCTATCTCTTGAGGCCAGATCCAATAGGGAGGGACTTGGAGCAAACTCAAAGAACAGCTCAGGGATTGAGATGGAGTTAGGCTGGCATGGGATTGTGGCAGAAACATTTTGGTGTCTAGAATAGGGGAACATAGAGGAACAGGTTGTAGGCAAGCATAAAACCCAAATGGTGTTTGGAAGGAAAGATTCCAGACTGAAATCCCACAAAGGAATTTGAGGGGACACCAGGATGGAGGAAAGTGAGGTAAACCCCAGGACAACAATGAACTCTAGAGTTTTGGGGGCTTAAATCTCAAATTCTCCATGCCAACCCATAAAATAAACTGTAACACCTGAGAATAATATGCTCCTTAGAACAATCAATTGTAAGAGATCAAAAGGACAACGTTTTCCCCAAAGCAAAGATGAGAAGGCAGGAAAGGGTAGAAGGACAAAAGGAAAGGAGGAACCTAGGATGGAAATGGGGAGAGCGCTGACACATTGTGGGGAATGAAACCAATGTCATGGAACACTTTATGTACAAACTATTGAATGGGAAACAAATTTGTCCTGTAAACTTTCACCTAATGCACAATAAAAATTTAAAAAAAAAAATTTCCATGCCATGTCCTTCAGGGTGGAGGAGACAGGCCCTACTTCTGTGGGATCTGGGCTATAGGGAAGAGGAATAGAGAGGAGCTAGGATGAGCAGAGCTGGAGGATCAGACAAAAAGTTTGATAGAAGAGAAAATCTTTGACAAAACTCAAAGTTGTCTGCATGATCGTTCCTCAAGCCCTGTTCCTCTCTTTGCCTCCTGCTGTTTCTCCCTTGCCTAGAAATTTAGTCCAATTTCAATTTGTTAGCTCCACAAGTTCCCCGTTTTTTTCCTTCTGATCTAGCATCTCTCCATTTCAAAGGCATTTCCTAGGAATTGTCCTTCAATGATATTACCATTACCACTTATCAGCCAGTCTCAGCCTCCTGCCCCCTCAGCCCTCATCCAATGTCCAAACCCTCCAGACACCCTTTCAATTAGCTTCAACTTCCATCCATTTCCACATGGTGCCACCGTCCACTCTCTCCTCATCCACCCAGCTTTCCTACATGCTGCTTCTCCTCAGCATCCCCCAAATGCTGCGTCATTGTTCTAAGAGCAACTGGAAGTCTGATTGCACCTGTTTGTATTTGCCCTCGGCCATTTTCCTGGAGTTTGTCTCACCAAGGGATTCCAAATTTATCCAGGCTCATACTTTCCATTTTCATTGTATTCTTCCAGTTTCCAGGATATGTTGCCCATGGTCTTTACCTAATAAATAATTTTGTCCCATTGTTGAAAGCAGCCTCTGTATCTTCCTTTCTTCATCCCAACAGGTGGAACTGAAACAAAAACAGAGAAAAGAAATCTGTGAGCATGGGAAGAAGGCTGACAAAAGCAGTGCCATTTTATCTAGTTCAAGACCCATCCCAGGCCTGATGGCAGACTGGCATAGACCACCAGGGCCCAACTACTTATAAAAAGGTCACAGTGACAATGGCTTCCCTCAGCCTCTGTTTGGGTGGCAACTCCATTTCTACCACCAGGAAGGTAACTGACTCCTGGTGTGGATAAATGAAGCGATCCCTTCAAATTAACTGTACTTCTCCCAGGAGGGGGAATTGTTTGGGACATCTTCAATGGTAATGCCTCATATAAATAAATAAATAAACTTAGGTCATCTTTGGAAAACACCATCCCAGAAAGGGGTCTCTTTGGATTCCTGCTTGAAGGCCCTCCTGGTTCAGTGAGAAGCCCACTTGACCTTCTGTTGCTTTAAACCAGCATTAGAAATAGTCCCCTTCACATAGAGTCTGACTTTAATGCAATTCTACTTGGCCTGGCTGCCCAGTCACCAAATGGTGGGAAAAATCATCTTTTATGTATGCCTTCTACTGAGAAATCATCAAAATCAGACCTATTACTTGTCAAACCACAACTTCTCCAAATTCCAAATTATGTTCACAGTAAAATATTATATTCATTACTGTGCCACATTATGTCTCATGATTAAACTAAAAACCAACTCTTCTAAATTTTTATTCTACCTGCCACCCTCACAGAGGATCATGACAAATTAAAACCAAATGTTCACTCTTAGGTGGGAAGTCAGAGCACCGGACAGGTCTATTAACATCACATTCATTCTACTTTAAGAGAAATGTGACAATAATACTCCATTATCCACATTGTGTCCTTGTCAGCTCCCAGACTCCATATCCATTTATGTTTGATTTTGGTTCTGGTGTTTTTCTACTGATTTGGAATTTAAGATCATATATATGTGTGTGTGTATGTATGTATATATATATACACACACATTTCAATGGAAATATTACTAGATTGTTTTAAAATGAAGCTGCATACTGGCTTTAAATCAGGAAACCACAGAGGATTTCTTTGCGAAGGGGTTGAGATGAAAACAAAATCGAACTAGGGTGAGAAGTGATAGTCAACATTTACTCCAAGCACCTTTTTTCAGAGATGAGGAAACTGAAGCCATGAGAAATAAAATGATTTGATCAAAGACACATAGCATGTGGCCAAGACAGGACCAGAATGCTGGTGTTCTACCTACCTATCATCTTCCACTGAGCAAACCACAGCTGAGTAGGAGGACAGGTTAAGTTAATCTAGGGGCTGGAGCTTCAGAAAACAGTTGAGAGAAATTACCAAGGTTGGACTTATTGGTTCAGGGGATTTATAGGTTTAAGGAAAGATAGGAGAAGAAAAAAGCCATGCAGCATGCTACCTTCTGCCTGCACCTAGAACCTGCACCTGGAGAACCAGAGAGAAAGGGCTCCTCCATCATTTCACATATCCCTAGCAGCCAATGTCCTCTTTTCCCTGCTGCTTCCTCACACTCCATCCACCCCACACTGTACTCTTTGGAGGAGAACACCATTTATCCCTGCTTGAAAAGTATTGTGATTAAATTGTACTTTGAGAAAATAATTTTTTTTTTTTTTAAGTTCAAACTTCTTAAAAATACTTCGGAACCTCAGGCAGTTGTTCTGTTGGTTTAATGTGTGATGTGTATCCTGAAAGGGAATTTTACTACCAGAATAGACAGGGCTGCCACAGGAACTCTTTTCTAAGTCTGGAGAGAAAAACAGTCACAGGTTTTAGTCAGCTCTGTGACACCTCCCTCCTCCCCTCTATTTCCTGCTTTTCTTCCTGGTCACCTGGCACAGTACCAAACCAAAAACCAAACCCGTTGCTGTCGAGTTAATTCCAATAGGGACTCTATAGGACATAGTAGAACTGCCCCATACAGTTTCCAAGGAGCACCTGATGGATTCCAACTGCTGACATTTTGGTTAGTAGCTGTAGCTCTTAACCACTACACCACCAGGGTTTCCAGCACAGTACTGGCTAGTGGTAAATTCCTGGAAAAAACCAATGCCTTTTTTTTTCCCCCTGGCTCTGGCTCACATGATCCACCCCTGAGGAAGAACTTATCTGATGACCTGAGAACCTGCCTTGCGGCTTCCTGTCCAGCTGGCACCAGTACCAGAACTGTCCTGAGTGATTAGAGGAAATGATTAGTCTCAGTAACTCTAGCTTTATTTCTGAATCTTCTAAAAGGCAAGAAATGTCTCACCTCCAATGCTTCACCAAAACCTACTGTCATGGATTGAATTGTGTCCCCTCAAAATATGTGTCAGCTTGGCTAGACCGTGATTCTCAGTGGTTTGGCAGTTATGTAATAATGTAAGTTGGCAGTTGTGTAATGATGTAGTCATTCTCCACTTTGTGATCTTATGTAGTTATCCCCCATTTTATGTGTTATAAATCCAATAAGGCATGGATTAGGGTGGAGTATATCTTGAGTCACACCCTTTAAGTACTTCCTTACTTAAGTCATCATCCTTCACTGCTTCACTGAAGTCACGCCCTTGCTTGAGTCACACCTTTTACCTTACAAGAGATAAAAGGAGAGAGAAGTGAGCAGAGAGAGGGATCTCACTACCACCAAGAAAGAAGAGTTGGGAGTGGAATGCGTCCTTTGGACCTGTGGTCTCTGTGCTGAGAACCTCCTAGACCCAGGGAGAGATTGATGCCAAGACACATGGAGATCTCCAAGGAACATCTGGCCCACAGATGTCGAAAGGAGACAAGGACCTTCCCCAAGAGCCCTGAATTCAGACTTCTAGTCTCCTAAACTGGGAGAGAATAAATTTTTGCTTGTTAAAGCCATCTACTTGTGATATTTCTGTTATAGTAGCACTAGATTACTAAGACACCTACCATAAGATTTCAGAAGCACCTGAAATTCCATTCTAACCTGACTACAAATAACTAACTGAAGTATATACTAATAAAAAATCAATTGCCGTTGAGTTGATTCCAACTCATAGTGACACTCTAAAACAGAGCAGGACTGCCCCCACAGGGTTTCCAGGCTGTAAGTCTTCTCAGAAGCAGACTGCCACATCTTTCTCTCATGGAATGGCTAGTGGGTTCAAATTGCTGACCATTAGGTTAGCAGCCAAGCTCTAAACTACCGTGTCACCAGGGCTTCTGTATATACTAATAGCACCTCAAATTTAACAAGTCCAAAGTACAACTCTGGATTCCCTCTGGCAAACTCACTCCTCACTTGGTCCTCCTCATTGCCATTAATAGCTCTAGCATTTGCCCCATTTCTCAGGCCAAAAAACATAGGAGTCAGCCTTAATTCCTCTTTTTATCTTACTCCCCACATCCATTAGTAATCCATTAGTAAGTTCTGTCAGC